ACACAGCGCCGATGGCGGTTTAATCGCCGCCGATCTCTCAGGGCTGGCAGTATGGACGGCCAGCAGGCGCGTGGACTGCATCATTGCCCCTCAGCGGGCATCCAGGGTGTACCCCACACCTGCTGGAGCCTAGGCCCGCCTCTGCCCAGGGCCTCGGAGAGAGGGAGGCCCCAGGACTGTGAGAGGATGAGTATGAGCTAGACCCTGTGGTGGCAGCCCCAGGAGATGCGTGGCTCTGAGGAGAGAAAGGTCGGCCTGGCCCTGCCCCCCACTCAGGTGCATCACAGGTGACCCAGGTGAAAGCGTACCTGCTAGGCACGTCTCAAACCCTCTCGATCAGGATCTTCCCGACCAACCTGGGTACGAACAGCACGGGCCGGGGCCGGGGGGGCCTGCGTGGGTGCACCAGGGTGTAGGGTGCCAGCGTGAGGCAGCTCTCAGCCCAGAAGCACGTGGCGGAGGGGTCTGTGGGGAGAGAGCCGTGGGCAGGACACCCAGGCTGCATCAGCTCCCTTGACCGTCACTGGGTCCCCCCACGTGTCAGCCCCCCACTGTCAGCACCCCTCACCGTCAACTGTCACCCACCAGTCCCTACCATCAGCACCCCCATATTAGCGCTCACTCTTAGCCCCCTACCACCAACGGCCCCACCATCACTGTTAGCTCTCACCCATCAGTTCTCACCCACCAGTCCGCCACCACTAGCCGCCCCACCCCATCCCCCTACCATCAGCCCCCTCGTTGTCAATACATCCATCAGCTCTCCCACCATCAGCATGCCCCACCGTTGGGCCCCCCATCAGCCCTCGTACTGTTATCTCCCCCTTGTTAGTACCCCCCACACCAATGGTCCTCTCCCCAACCAGCCCCCCCGACTGTCAGCTCCTCCACTGATGGCCCTCCCCCTCATCTGTCAGCCTCCCCCCATCCGTCAGCCCTGACACCCGCCAGCACCCCTCACCCCCACTGACAGCTCTCCCTGTTTACTGCTCCCCCTCTCACAAAGCCCAGCCCTGTGGAGGGCCTGGCTTCTGTCCACTGCGGCCCTTGCACCTAGAATGACCTCTGAGGCTCCGGGACTCCGGCACAAGTGGCTAGTTCTTCATCTCACACCTCTGGTCACCCGGTTAGACAGCTCCAAACTGGTCCATTCCAGTTCCACCCTGCTGAGAATCTGTGCTTTGACCCTAGATCCATTAAATCAAGGGGTCCTGGTGGTGCTGCAGTTAAGCAAGCACTCAGCTCTTAATTGAAAAGGAGGCAGCTTGAACCCACCCATCTGCAGGAGAAAGAAGAGGCAGTCTCTGTTAAGACTGACAGCCTTGGAGACCTTGTGCTGCAGTTCCACTCTGTCCTCTAGGGGCGCTGTGGGTCATAATCGACTCCAGGCAGTGGGTGTGGTTTGGGCTTTGCTTCTGTGAAGACTGACAGCCTTGGATACCCTGTGGGCAGTTCCACTCTGTCCTCTAGGGGCGCTGTG